TTATGGAAAATCAACCCTTTTTAGTTCAATAAAAATGCACGGCACTCTAAAAAATAATGTGCATCTCTGTTAAACTGATCATATTGATGGTAGTATGAATCTACACCAGATTTGGTTAGAATCGCATGAATAATAACTGAGATATAGAGGGGGCCGTTTAAAGTGGGACACGCTGTATATTAATGAATATTATATACACATTGAGAGAGAGAAGAAAATAACACATGTGAATGTTATTTTTAATTCAAAAATTGTTGAGGGTGAGTCGAGGGGTAAGTATCATCGAGTTGAGATTTGAATTGATAAATTATTCAATAGAGTGATGATGGTGGGCAAACAGATAATGCGAAATATTGGGAATTTATTGTGTCAATTTTAGTAGGTACGCCGCTGGTGATCGAATCAATTTTCTTGCCGTCATGTGAACGTGAATAATAGTTCCTGAAGGAAAAGGACTGAACCGAACTGAAGGGAAGTATATTCTCAAGTTTGTACTGACCATTGTTCGGTTTCACATCGGGGAAAATTGGGGTCATACTGTCAGCATAAGTTTATATAAGGTACAAGACCCTATATAACCGTAAACCAAGGTTTTGAGAATTTCCAGGGAGAAATAAATAGCAGATAAGCGAGAACAGGGTAGCCCAGCCAGCAGGGTGACGTCAATTCTCGTCGAATCGACGTGGATAATAGGTATCAATTGGTCGTCGTCAAGATTCGACCAATAATTGACGTCATTTTGACGTGTTCCAAAATCGTATCTGATAGACGTCATTTAGACGTAACATCTGCACCAATCATTTTGTTTTATTTCGAAGAAATTACTCCATGAACTGCATATCCAGGACTCATGATTGAACGCTTATCAAAATAAAATAGGTACCTTAGTAAAGAAGATTCACGTATACCCGACATGGATAGAACTAAGTGGTGAAATATGTAGAACAAAAATATTAATGAAAAACACCCTCACAAATACGGTTATACCAGGTGCCTTCATGTTTTATATTGGCGCGCCACGTCAAGACATACAGATGCTTATGATTGGTCTATCCGTGCTCCGTGGCTTCGTGTGCCTTCGTTTCGCACTATGCCACCGCTACCCCTATCGGACATCGTCGATCGTAGCACAGTTTGTCGTATAATGATGCGCATGCGTGATCCAGTTCATCGAATGTTGTAATGGCGGATTCGTGATTTTGGGTCATGGAAAACAAGGATACTATAGAAAAGTGGGGTTCAGCAAAATATATTGCAGTTCGCTGATTATTTTATCAATTCCAGGCGATAGAAATGTTTGTGGGAATACAATATTCCGAGGAAAGGCATTGCTCTCGTTTAGTAGAAGTAGTTGACGCCATGACGCCTCGTAAGTGTGGTGGCCGCCTTTCAAACAGCAAGACTTTTTCAACAGGTCAATAATTGAGAAAGCGAAATCTACGAATGACACTTGGGAGTTGTTTGATGTAGTGAGGTCTTTATTTGAAGAAGGTAATTTATAAATACCTCAAATAGTAGGTACAAGAATAATTTGAGGTTATTAGGTTGAGATTCCTTTGAAACTTGACATCTTCGTTTATGTCAATATACTATGAAATATAGTGGATTTTATGCTTATTAGTTTTATTCAGATGAAGAATACCTATGTATAATTATGTGAACAAATGAAAAATATCTATTGTAACTAGATCATTTGAACTGTTTTGCCAACCATCAAGGAATAGGATCATGGGAAAGTGATTTCGAGTTTCACAGTTTCTTTGAGAAGTCGAAACCTGGACCTGATGCTTGGTAACTATTCGACGTGTAGACGACGTCGCTAAATGACGTTGTAACGACGTCGCTAAATGACGTTGTAACGACGTCGCTAAATGACGTCGTTTCGATGTGACATATTGACGTCACATTTACGTCTCTTTCACGTCGATAATTTAGTCATCTTGACGTAATTGGTGACGCGTATATACGTGAAATTGACGTGTGAATGCTAGCTGGGAGGTGATTCAAGGGTGGTACAGAAGCATATGAAGTTTTGATTCGATGATTTCAATAGGTACTGAACTAATGTAAAAACATTCCAAACCATGATTTCCACAAAATTCTCAAATACACGACATGTTTCGCTAACACAGTAGCTTCGTCAGGTGATATACTGGTACAATGAACAGTTCATCAAGAATTTTGTGGAAATCTCATCGTATGTGAAATTTTTACATTTGCCATGGATTTCCATCAAGTAACGGCCGAGTCAATTGAAAAAAATTAGGCACTGAACTGGTACCTACTGGATTCGTTCTACGGCTATAACACAAAATATTTCTTGTTTTACTGTGTTCGATGAATCAAATCATTGTTGTTATAGGGTATATAGTGGAAGAAAATTGAACTCCTCTAGAGTTCTAGATCGTAATTCACAACTCCGTCTAATGTTTTATGATCTTCATCTAGTGATTTCAACTCAGTTCGTCATTTCTTAGCCCACAAAGCCTAATATCCTTGACAATACCAACCGTTAGGATAATCTAACTCACATGGAATTGCTAGGTTTTTCAGCTCGGTGATATGATGTTCGATATTCTCACCTTCTTGTTGCCTTCGGGTGAAAAATAAGTGTCCTACGAAAGTAAGGTTACCTTCCGGAACGAAATGCTCTTGGAATGTATCTAACAATGGTTTAATCTTGTCCTGTTCATTCTTTTGCAGCATGAACGTATTGAACATTCTTAAGCCTTCTTCTCGAATCAGTGAACGAAGCTGAGCACATTGGGTTCCTTCATCTTTCTTCGTTATTTCATAATATGCTTTTGGATAGTCTTCGAACCGCTGTCGCCAGACCTTCCAATTATCGGATAGATTTCCCGATATATTCATATGCGAAATACTATAGCCCATTTTTTACCCAAAATATAAACGGGTCACTTGAGACTGCTGCGAAATACTAAACAATCGAAGAATTTTCAATATGGCGGAATTGTTAACTTCAAGCACGTGAGGTATCCAGACAGAGCCTATAGCTGTAGGGTATAGGTGGGAAGACAAATGATCTCCTCTAGTCCTGGATCGTAACTCACAATAATTATTGTGTTGTTATTTCATGAAATCTCATCCACCTTGGAATGTGAAATTTCAAGGAATGACAGGTCTGTTATAATAGATGAGCATCATGAGGAAATCAGATTACTACGACCCAAAGAAATAGAAAATTTCGCTATCATCTGTTACAGGCGTTACAGTCGTATAAAAGGTATAGTGTGTTGAACTCGACGGAATGCTAATTTTCGCCTACTAACATTCCGTGCTCGTAAAACAATGTACTATTTACACATTCAACAATAATTACACTGTGTTGCTATATATTCAGTACACCATTAAAAAGATTGCACGCCATTAAACTTGCCTTTGTTGCAGATGGCAGGCCTGATTCGATAAGTGCTGGATCCAGAGTAATGATCAGGGGGGGCGGATACTGAATATGAAAAGTAAATTACGATTATATTATATTCAGTGCTTTCGTGAAATATGTACTGTATAAATTGATTTTTACCTGTCCATTCCTGAGAAATCTTCTGAAACAGGTCGATTTCTATGTTCAATTTGCCATATTCATCAGGAGATATTAAATATACAGGGTGATCCAAGTTTGAATTATGACGCCAAAGACAATGTCTTCAAATGGAACACCTTATATATTATTCGCTGTTAAGAATCTTTGAGAGACGCTGAATTCAAACTATCAGGTTTTAGGAAATGTCACTCGTGTGAAACGGCTCTTCAGTTTTTGATATCCAAATGGAAAGTTGATATTCATGATAAGAAAATCATCGGGGTGGTTTTCTCGGAATTACAGAGAGCATTTGAAATTATAAATAGACAATAACTTTTAAAAAATTGAACAAATATAGAATTGGCGGAAATGTTTTCGAATGATTTCAGAGTTATCTACAAAATAGAGAACTTGATGAATACAATAACACTTACTCAAATAAAGAAAAAGACATTCATGGAGTACCACAAAGATCGGTACTGGGACCAAAATCATTTGAAGATTTTGAAGGATAATTTGACCGTTCCTTCGCGTTCGTCTCACGACCGCAAGGTCGTGGGTTCGATTCCCAGCACGAGCAAGGAACTTTTCTCAATATTTTATTTACGAAATAAATATTGTTGAGTTTCGGAGCATCGGCTGGGGATAGTCCAGCACGATTCGCTGTTGCGTTCCAATTAACAGTGCTGCTCCTAAAGTGGCGCATGGAGTTAGTAACAAAGCCTACACAGAACACGCAGAAAGAGATGATGATGTGGTTGTGAGCATCAGAGAAGAAGTAGGACTCTGTATACGTAGGTGAGTGTGGAAAATTACCAGCTGAGCGTGAGAGCGGGCCAGCTGCTTAGTGGACCCTAGTCTCTTACGGGGGTTACCGAGGATAGCTAGCAGGCCTGCCACTGCGCATATGGTAGTGAGTACATTACTAGCCTACAAAACAAAGCCGAAAAACTCTGAAAGAGAGCTGATGGGCGGTGCCTAAATAGGATGTTAGCCAGCTCTCTTGAGCGAACCACATCAGTCATTGAAAACACTTGGGGTTTGCAAAAAGATCCCATCAGGGACTAGTTGCTGACGTGCAAACGTCCCCCACCAGTACCAGTACCAGTTACCGTTCCTTCAGATATATTTGTAATAATTGTTCATGAAACTATCGAATAGTATGTCAGTGAACTCGTTGAGGAATTCTTCATAAAATGATATAAAAATATGTAGGGTGTTCGATTGAAAATGAGGAGGTTCATAGTAATTCAGGAAAACTGGAAACGTGGCAACATTGGCGACATAATTTTTCAGCCACAGCCACATTTTCAATTCACCCTCTGTATGAAAATTCAAAAAGATCTGACGACTCGTTACTGAGATATATGGAAGGTTCCATACTTTAGATATAGATATAGATATAGATATTTTGTCATATGTTATTACCTTGCTCCTGTTCCTGATAGGCACGTACTCCTCCTTGGAAGGCTTCCTTCGTCTGTCCTTGAGAATCATCCTCGCCGCCGCAAAAGCCATTTTTCACGAGCGGTATTTCCTTCGAATAGTCAATAACACATCCCACGATAGAGCGTTCCTCGGTGGTACTTATGACGCTGCTTATCACTCACTTAATGTTAGGTACTGTTTTTGATTGATTTTCACTATGTATGCATGCTCTTACGGTTCCAGTATTCTGAATTATAATCAATGGTGATGTAAAATAAACGAGCATTTCAATGAGGAATATTGTAAGGAACTAATAAGTAATAATCGTTCCTTGTAGATTGAAACAAAACAGCTATTTATTTGTATACAGTGTGTCCCACTTACCATGCTCACCATGGGTATCTTTTTAACGGTGAGAGATACGAGGTCGGTTAAATGACACCAAATGTGGAGTTTGTCAAGGCCAACTTTAATGTGAAAAAATATTTTGATAAAATCTATTCGTTTTTGTTTTATACGCAAAAAACAGATTTTGATCATTTTCATGTCTCCTCCGTAACTTCTTTATTTATGAAAATATTCAAATAGGAATTTCACATTCTCATGACAGTTTTCCAAAGTGATTTCGAAGAAAATATAAAATTTATACCAACTCTTCTAGAATTTGAGATATCAGCACCAACTTTAGTTTTTCAAATGTAGGTCATAGCTCACTATGACTTATAGTTACAAATAACTTTTTTTTCTCTTACAGATGATATGGCGCAGTAATAGTTTTGTGTTGATAACAACGGAGGTATCGTCATTTATACAAAAACAAAAATTATTTGGAAGCCGCCATCTTGAATTTATGAATTTTAACAAAAAAATCATGATCTCCGACCTCAAAAACCCCCCACTTACCAATTTTGAATGGAATCGGACCGAATCTTGTCTGCCATCAATTAAAAAAAATGGCTGCTCCAAGATGGCGGAAAAGATTTGGTTCGATTCCATTCAAAATTGGTAAGTGGAGGTTTTTGAGGTCGAAGATCATGATTTTTCTGTTAAAATTTATAAACCCAAGATGGCGGCTTCCAAATAATTTTTTGTTTTTGTATAAATGACGATAATTCCGTTGTTATCACCACAAAACTATTACTGCGACATATCATCTGTAGGAGAAAAAAAAGTCATTTGACATAGTGCGCTATGACCTACATTTGAAAAACGAAAGTTGGTGCTGATATCTTAAATTCTAGAAGAGTTGGTATGAATTTCATATTTTTTTCGAAATCACTTTGAAAAACTGCCATGAGAATGTGAAATTCCTATTTGAATATTTTCATGAATAAAGAAGTTACGGAGGAGACATGAAAATGATCAAAATCTGTTTTTTGCGTATAAAACAAAAACGAATAGATTTTATCAAAATATTTTTTCACATTATAGTTGGCCTTGACAAACGCCACATTTGGTGTCATTCAACCGACCTCGTATCTCTCACCGTTAAAAAGATACCCATGGTGAGCATGGTATGTGGGACACACTGTATACATGATGTTTGAGATCTTGATAGGAAAAATTCTACATTCTACGGAAGAAATTGTTTCATGGACTCCTTCAGAGCTGTTGTTGATAGATTTTCAAAATACTGAACCTGTAGATTAGTAGGGACGTATTGCTCACGATCTCAAATAATTTATCATTAATTGATAATGAAATAGACTATAAATCGAATTATTGACTGATTGAAACATAAAGTGTGACGAAGCAGACCTAATTTTTTATTTTCGAATAATATTTCAATAATTTTCTAGAAGATGCATAAGCTTGAGGCTAATGATAGAGTTCTTGCTCTGGTTTCTGATTCTTCTTCTTTCTTCACAGCGATCAAATGAGAAAGCTAGATAATTATCTTTGATCCTTTCAGAATCGAGAGTTAAATATGGATTTCCACAAAAACATCGGCCAATTTAGTCCAATTGACGTATTCGGCCTATTGACTTTCGACTTCCGACGAATTGATTTCGACGAATTGAATTTCGCAATCATTAGTGGCACCTGTATATTATTTTACGCACTTCTGAAGTGAAAAGAATGAAAATTAAATAATCAAAAAAAGAATGAAAGACATACTCTCGTACTCGTTGCTGACTGATGGGTGGTTATCATATAAATACACTCACCAGCCAAAAAAACAGCCAGCTAATTAATTGGCCAAGTTAATTGCCCTTTTTTAGTTCTTGTCCGAATTTCTATCAGATCATATTTATGTCATGAAATGAGAACCTACATTATTGTTTCCAAAGAAAATCTGATGGTGCCAAAATACAGTATGGTATTGTTGACTGAGAAAGCCTCAAAATTTCAAAATGATTGTAATTGGGGTTATTGAGTAATCTCAATGGAAGTCTTGAAAATACCTACATTGAATTCAGAGTCGAATCGAATTTTTATTGTTTCCTCAAAAATCGAGTTAATAAAATAGTTCAATCTAATTAAAATATGAAACTCAGAAAAACCGGTGGCGTACAATGACATTCATCATAACCCAAGTAGCACACATATATTGGGACAATATCGGTGCAATATTACGAAAATATCGGCAAAATATTGTGAAAGTGATATTGGCGGAAAAAAAAATGTGAACATTCGGCGATATTGGTACAATATCAGTTTCCAAATGTGGGTAGGATATTCTCATATCAATATTGGTTGAATATTCGTGGAGTTCTATTGGTCACAAAATGTAATATCAATATTGGCGAGAAATTATTGGTGAACATTCGGCAATATTGGTGCAATATTATATGGAAATATCGGTGAATCATTGAAAAACATCATGAAGCTATGTTGTCTCAAAAATATTGGAAGAATATTGTCATACCAACATAGCTGAATATTATAGTAATATACTGGTGTAATATTGGTTGGAAATATTGATACATTATTGAAAATCATTATGTAGCTATGTTGTCTTCGAAATATTGGTGGAATATTTTCATATCAATATTTGGGAGTTATTCGCATTAGGAATAATCACAAAGGTCAGCCCAGCCGAAGTGCAATGGGAGGGCCTTGCCTTGGGGAAGCGGCCTTATTGATCACGGTTAACCCCTACTTCAGGTAATCATGCCTTACAATCGTCTAGAGCCAATATTTATATTCTCTCGTCTGATCGGCAATGGGAGTACGTTACGAATCATTTATAGCGCCATCTATCGTAATCGGTTTGAGAGTGCATGCTATGGAAATAATATCGAAATTTCGATATCGATATGTATTCTCAAAACAATACGTGAACAATATTGCTCACATGATATAGTGAATCAGATATCAGCCAATATAAGATGATATTACTTTCTGAATATTCCTAGAAAACTATTCAACCGATATGCAATTGAACTTGATAATACAATATTGTTTTTCTCTTCTATGACTGATATTAGATTGTCGTTATTGATATTCATATTTGAAACAATATGCATTCCATGTCTTTCGCATGATATAGTTGAAACTATATCAATCAATTTGGGTAAATATGATGTTTTTAATATTGTCGAATGAACAATATTAAAAAATGAGCCGTCGAACTCGAATATACAATTTTGCATAACCGCTTCAGAATCGACATGGGGAGAATGTTCAAATTGCGATATTGGTTATAACTGTTGGAAACAATATGTATACAATATCTTCCGCGTGATATAGTTGAGATGATATCAATCAATATAGGTGAATTCAATGTGCCAAATATTGTTGAAACAATATTCTACCAATGTGCCGTCGAACTCGAATATTACAATATTTCATAACCGCTTCAGAATTGACATGGGGGGAATGTTCAAATTGCTATATTGGTTATAATTGTTGGATACAATATGTATACGATACCTTCCGCATGATATGGATAAACTGATATCAATCAACATAGGTGAATATGATGTTTCGAATATTGTTGAAATAATATTTGGCACATTGAATTCACCTATATATAATATGCCATCGAACTTCGATATACAATATTGCACAACCGTTTCAGAATCGACATGAGGAGAATATTCAAATCACGATATTGGTTATAAATGTAGGAAACAAAATGTATACGATATCTTCCACATGATATAGATAGAATGATATCAATCTATATAGGTGAATATGATGTTTCAAATATTGTTAAAACAATATCCAACCAATATGCCGTTCACCTTGAATATACAATATTGCATAACCGCTTCAGAATCGACATGGGGAGAATGTTCAAATTGCGATATTGGTTATTGATGTCGGGAACAATATGTATACGATGTTGTTGTATCGACATTTGTAAAACAATATTATATAACATTTATGGATATGTTTTTCAACACATTGTTAACGAATTTCACAACCAATATTGCTCCAATATTGTAGCTGACAACTCATATTCAGCTCAGGTTGAACCAATATTCCACCAATATTATCATTTCAATATTGTATGTCCAATATACTCTCATATTGTTCCCATATTATGTTTCACATGTACGATATATCTATATCGACCCAATATGGAATCGTGTTCCAGCCAATATGATGTGCTACCTGGGAAATATCGATAAATTTACCCACTGTGACGCCACTGGAAATATTATTTCGAATCTGACCGCACCAGAAGAAGTTCTATATTACTATCAACGAAACAACAACGTTTTATTGAAATTGATGGAAAGACAATTGATTGATGAATAAACAAACGATCTTTCATGGAAATATTAATTATATGAATTTTTTCGGTGTTATTCAGATACACCCTGTATATGTATAAGACAGCATGAATTCTGTATGAAGACGAGTGAGTTACGGTATACATTACTAAAAAAATAGACCGTTTCATAGAGATGATATTTAACATGGTGTAACTTGCCCCTATACAATTCGAAGATATACTGAACGGATTGATCGTTGATCTGTAGGGCAGAAGGTTTGACAGGTGAGCTCGAGAAATTTTTATGTAAGAACACAGATTTTCAAAATTTTCCATTGACCTGATGTTTCCAAGGATTTATGTGAAATACATATATTTCTCCCATGGAAATACTGATTTTATTCCATAACGAATGTTACAAATG